AAGCTGCCAGGCATAGCTGTGGCCAAAAGCTTGTTGGTGCCTGTCAGGGCGACAACTCAAGAATCCCCTGGTGGACACTAGTGGTGAGGGAGACCTTCAAGCTGAAGAAGGAGGTCTTGAGGGACTGGATGGCCCAGAGGACTCCCAGCTCAGCAAATAGGTACCAACAGGGAAAAAGGTGGCGGCAGCAGTTGAAGCACAGTCCAGAACATGACAGAAGTTTGGCAAGGCCATTGAAAAACTTTGGGTTGGCTTCAAAGAGGCTCTGGACAACAGTCTGGCGACTCAGGAGTGGTCAGAGTGGCTTTACTCAAGCTGTACTCAGTGGGGTAAAGAAACTTTGACTTCAAATGAGGATATTGTCAGCTGGTGGACAGAGCACTTTCAGGAACTCTCATACCTGATAGACATGCCTCAGTCATGGGAGTCAGGGCCAGAGGCTCCTGGGGTGTCAGACTGTATTTCTCTGGTGGAGGTCACTGAGGTAGTTGGCAAGCTCGTAGATGAGATTCTGCATTCAGACAGGCTTGTTCAGTGTGAGTTTTGGACTCCACCAAGGTGCTTTGTCTCCACTCCTGTTCATGGACAGGGTGTCAAGGTGTAGGTAAGGTCAGGAGGGCATTATGTGTGCAAGCTGGAGGGTGGTGTCTCTGCTGTTTGGGGATGATGTCTTTTTGGATCCATCACATGGATGCCTCCAGTGTGACCAAGCTTCTCACTCAATCAAGTAGAGTGTAGCCGGCCACCCTGCGAAGAAAGCTCATTTCTGCCGCTTGTATCTGAGATCTCATTCTTTCGGTCATTACCCACAGCTCATGATAATAGGTGAGGGTTGGTATATAGACCGAATGGTAAACAGAGAGCTTTGCTTTATGACTCAGCTCCCTCTTCGCTGCTACAGTCTGCTACAGCAACCAAATTACTGCTGCCACCTGTCCCAGCCTGCGGCTGATCTCATGATCCTCCAAGTCTGAGTCTTAGCCTGGATGAAGATGGCATGCCCACTCCAGGTAAAGGGAAAGGACCTGCCACAGGTGGAGGAGTTTGAGGTATCTCCAGGTCTTGTTTACGAGTGAGATCAGCCGCAGGCTGGGTCAGGCAACAGCAGTAATGTGGTTGCTGTAGCGGACTGTAGTGGTGAATAGGGAGCTGAGCCATAAAGCAAAGCTCTCTGTTTACCGTGTGGTCTATATTTTCTCTGCAGATTTGCAATGAAAATGCCTTTGTTCACTTCTGAATTGATCCCATCACTGACATCACAGAAAGATAAGCAGCCCCAAATTTGACATCTCCACCTCATGGAGATCACCAGAACTTTTTGACAGCATAAAACTGGAACTGTGCTATTTCATTAAACAGGTTCTAGTGGTTTTTTGTTTTTGGTACCTGTTTATGATTGGTACCAACAGGACGTAATTGTACACAAGGGGTGTTTTCCTCTGCCCTTGGTTACACTTTGCAACTGATACCAATGTCAATTTAGTGAACTCTTTACAGGTGAAAATAAAGTCACCAAGCACAATTTTGTCACCTGCAAGCACACCAGAATGTAAGGTAGAATGGTATGTTGATGTGTGAATTGCGTTCTTTTCTTGTAGAATTATTACTTTGCAAAAGAGTTTGGTATAGTGACATAATTTAGTCCCATTGGCTCCCATTCAGGTCAAAACTTGTTTTGGAATGTTTATTGGGACAAACTCTTGGAGTCTGGAATTCTTCTCCAGGCTTTCTTTACACAAAGAGTCTACCATCAGTTTGATTTTGTGCTAAAATGTATTTTTTTTTTTCTGAAACAAATATCATTCTGTTTTAAAGAAACCTTGAAAATGTCATTAAATTTAACCAATGGTTTCAGTGTCCAAACGAATTTTGTGACCACTGTATATGTAAGCCCACAGTAACCAGCCCAAAACATCATTGGTCCACCAGAAAGTCTGCTGATTCTGCTAATTAACCAATCCAGCACTGAGATGATTTGTGCTTATGCATGTCCTGCAGGTCCGAGGGTGTGTCTGGGTGAGTCTCTGGCAAAGATGGAGCTCTTCATCTTCTTCACCTCTCTGCTCCAACGCTTAAAGTTCTCATGGCCTCCTGGAGCTCCACGCCCAAACATGGATGGCATTGTGGGCGTGGTTCGTTCTCCATTCCCCTTCAATACCATCTGCCGCAGCAGAGAGACCACTCACTGAATCAAGTTTGCCCTTTACATGTGAATGGACAACATCACCCGCAGGAGAAGTTCCTCTTCTTTAACACATCTAATCAATCTCACTAAGAACACATTATCAAGCTCTTTCTTTCTACGAGGACCAGTCAGGGGTGAATGTACAAAACATGATATTCCACCAAAACAGGACTTATATGTTTTAAAAGGAATGTTGAGAAAAAAGGCCAGTTCTATATTATTATTATTATTATTATTATTATCATTATTATTATTTTACATTTTAAATCAAAAAGTTTAAATTTTGATTAAAAAAACAAAGATAAGTTCTGACAAAACAAACGGAAAAGATATATTTAAGATTCTGCATAAGCCCCTTATAGACAGTAGTTCACAGTTAAAGGTTGGGAAAAATATTTAATGTGTAAAATACAATTAAAAGTGATTTATAAAATGTTTAATTGATCATAGTTTCTGCTTAATAAAGTCATTTACTACTTTCCCTACAACTATAATGAATACTAAAAATATTAGCCAGGTCATTAGCAGACACAGAATTGATAGGTTACCGGATTCTTAATAAAGGCAAAATAATGGATATTTAATATAATGTGCGAAAGCTTAAAATGTATAATAAATGAATATAAATGCTCTAAAAAGTACTTTATTTAATCTATTTACTGCTTAATGAAGTAGCAGTAAGCACAGTTAATTAGCAGCTACTCACTTGATAAGGGTTAAAGACGCTTATAATGTCCCGTACACTAAAATTCCACTGAAACCACAGCTTTAATGAGTGAAACCCAAAGATTAGAGCCAAAGTTTGAATGCAGTTAATGCCAGCAGCTTGGATCATGTCCCAAAACTAAATCATTTTTCACCCCCACAGGATTTAAAAAAGAAAGACATCTTTTCTTTTATTTCACCCTGCCTGTGTTGTTTTGTTGTATTTTGCAGTGTGTAGCAGTTTCAGCATGTATGTTGTATAATTCTGACTCTTTAATGACTGTGTAATTCAGAGAATAGAGTGATGATCGGAGGGAAAATGTGTGCAAAACAAGTTTTTGTTTATCATTTTTGTTTGTCACAGGGTGCCACACTGTTGATTTTCCCATAGAAGTAAACTAAGAGTTACTATTTTGAGCACAAAAGATTGAGATTGAACAAGACATTGAGCTGAACAGGGTCAAATATATTCCATGCAGAGGATGCATTAACTTCTTCACTCTTGCAAAGTCAACAATCAACCAGGGCTGCCCAAAATTTTATCTGGCTGGGTCCTTGTGTGAACATTCAATACTAGACCTGGAGGACTTCTTGTCTTCTTGTTTAGTACCAGGACCAATCTGGGGTGAATCCACATGATTTTCTACCAAAATAATAAGCACAGTAGTTAGTTTTTTATGTATTTGTATGCTGTTTCTATAATAGTTAAATAATGGTTGTATAACTTTTATGTAGCTTACATTTGCTAGGTTGCTTAAGATGTACACTTCCTATTATGCTTGTTGTGTTTGCTTCTTGATAAAGTTGATTATTTGATATTAGTCTGAGAATCTTCATTTCAACAACACTGATTATATATATAATCGCTGTTTTTGACATTTCAAATTTTTTGACAAAATACCTGTTGCCCTTTACACGCATGTAAATGTCAATGAATGTAAATGAATGGATTGAAAGAAACTGCCCAAAATGACTTGGAAAAAATTCTGGTTCCATTGACTTACATTAAAAGTAAAGTATATTTTTTTTCCTTATATATATATATATATATATATATATATATATATATATATATAGATATATATATATATATATATATATATATATATTGTGTATGTGTGTGTGTGTGTAGATGTAACAAACATGCTGAACTGTCCAGTTATGTTGCATTAGTGGCAGTTTGAAAAGATGTGAAGCTTCATGTGTCTTGAAGGAAGCACACACTAGCTTTCAGTCTCCTGACTTGGAAGCATTGTCAGATAGGGGATGATAGTGGGTGGGAATTGACCATGACTAACACAACTTACGATGCTGCAGCTGCCTTGTGTAGCCCCCCGATCAACTTGTAGGAATTTCTACCCACTTTTCACTCATTTGAGGACTTTCTTTCATATACTGCCTGATTCAGGGACCACACTGCTTTTCTATGTTAATTTAAGTTTTATTTATTTTATTTAATTTTTAAGTCCATTCATGGTGGTACATGCAGATCACGGTGAGGTAAAATAGTCCCTGAAGAAAACCTATTTTTTCACCACCTATTTACCACTTTTTAACCATTTATTTAACAATTCAATCAGTTAATCAATCAGTCAATCGGCAATCAGGCAAGATGCCTTCACTGCCATTTTCACAGCAGAAAACAGAAAAGTCAGAAGACGTTTGAGGGTTCATGTTAATATGGTTAATAAAATGGACATTTTTCAAGTGTAAGGAACCTCTAAAATAATAATGTACTACAAAAATTAAACGTTACATTTATTTAGGAATCCTTTAGAAACTTTTATTTTCTAGAATAGTGTTTTTCAAATTGCAGGTTTTTCAATACAGTCCACATTTTTTCTACAACTTGCAATGTGAGCAAAAATCTAGACCGTGTGGGGAGCCCTGAGAACCAGTAAGAGAACCACTGTTCAAGAGTGTAAGGGAACAGGTAACTCAGTTGTCAGTCTCTGTATGCAGAGAAGTTGATGATGTTCCAACAGCTGCAAATGTTTTGTTTGTTCCTGAACTTTGTCTGCAGTGCATTATTACACTGGAAGCTCTCTGACCTCCTAACAGGTAAGATTACAAGATTACATGTTGGTATGAGCTTCTCCCTAGTCACAACCCTTTGGAATTGGTAGAGCGTTTTTTTAAAAACCTCTCTCTCTCTCTCTCTCCCCCTCACCCTACTCCACTCCTGGTTAAAAGGACTGAGAAACTGAGCCCTCCTGCATTTCTCTCAGAATGGAGTCTGTGCTGAAATATTTGGACTGGACCAGTGTGAGCTTGGCCCTGCTGGCTGGTCTGCTCAATCTGCTTTTGTTGGAGATCTTCAGGTTGAATTCATCCAGGAGCCGAAGCCCACCTGGACCCAAACCACTGCCCTTTGTGGGTAACCTGCCCCAGCTCTCAAAAGATCGAATGGCCTTCATCAGATCGGTCAGTTTCTCGTTTTTTTGTTGTTTTTTTTTGTTTTGTTTTTGTGAGGTGGTATATTCACTTGCATGTATCAGATATATCTTTTTTCTCTTTTTGATATTCATTTGTAAATGAAAAATACTGTAGTTATATACAGCCATGTCGTTGTGTCTGCCAGATGTTTATTGCTGGGCTTTCTTAGTTTGCATTCTGCATTTTAACATGCAATACATGCAATTTTACACTTACAAAAAGTGTAATATTTGCACCTAGAAATAAGTTTGTGGAATGCAAAGTTCACCATAGTTTATGTAACCAAATGCTACCTTTCCTCTGCTGTCTTACCTGATTTGACTTTTGACAAGACATCTAAAGTCCTCCACAAAGAGAAGTAATGTAGGCTTTTGTCCATATCACTGTGACAGTAAAGGGGACATGAAGAGTGCTGCATCTTACCTTGTCTCTTCAAGTACCTGATTAGTTAATAGCAAACAACTAAGTTGTACTTGCCACCAGGGGTATGTTTATGCCTGATGTGCAGGACTTCTGTTAAATTATTGTGAAAGCACTGTTCCAACTCACCTTTTCCCAAACCCTGATTCTTTAGGCTCACAGCCTTTCTTTCCTCAGGAGGGAGGGCTCGGATAAATCGATCCAAGGCCATTCTCTCTGTGGTAGCCCCTGGAAGTAGCCATCCATGAGAGACTCAGGAAACTCTTTATCTGCTTCCTTGAAAGCACCTCTGTTCAGAATCACCAGTGGTGGTATATCACATAAGTGATAGTTAGAGTGTGGCTTCTATGGGTTAAGATCTCAGTTGGTTGTATGTCCATCTGAATAGTGAAGCTATAATAATATAGCTATAGCTAGCTGCAGTTGACAAGTCAAGTGTGGGGCTAAGAGGCAACTCATTCCTCATTTCCTTCTACAATATATATCCAAAACCCTCATTGTTGTCACAGTGCAATATTACCTTGACAGAAAATAATTTTCTTTATTTTGCATACATATAAATGTTGATAGCCTTTTTGAGTGTAACTGCCAAGATTTAGAGAGTTTAGCAATACAATACTGACTTGTACAGTTATAGTTTTCTTCAGTGGTGTGACACTCTTAAAGATCTCTGGCAATGATTTGTGCTCTGATTCAGGATCTCAGCAGCTCAGCACACTCTGGGAAGGGCAAGCCTCAGATTCAAGCTAAGGCTTGCCCTGTCTAGCGTAACTGGGAGTTATGACATTTACTCCTGTAGCCATTGAGCCGTATTTAACCCTGTAAGTCACAAATTCACGTGAAATACTAAGAAAAAAGTTCAGGGTTTATACGAAGTTATGTTATATAGATCCACGGTTCTAAGCTCTGCTGTAACACACAGTAATCCCAACACCTGACCACTGGACCCCATGGACCCCATCCAATACACATCACTCCAGACATGTGAAATCTTGCTTTACACCTAATCACTTCCAACACAAACAGCTCCTTGTCATCAAGATGGGTACCATCTGCCATCTAGACTGCCAGAGTGGTACCCATTCTAAAGAAGACCACTCAAGACAGCTCTGACAACAGCAGCTATTGGTATCTCTCCTTTCTTTCCTTTCCCAAAGTCTTTCATAAGTTGTCCACAATCAGCAGTCTTTATTTCTCACTCATAACCAGCTCAAGGATCCCAGCTTGTCTGTTTTCAAACTGATGCACTCTACAGAGTCTTCTCTTGTAGCAGAGGTGGAGAAGCTCCACACAGGAAGTTCAGGTAAACTTCCAACAGTCCTGATTCTTTTTGATCTCCTGTCTGTTCTCACCAACATTGGAACTACCACCTTTGCATGGAACTGGATTGAGTCCTGAGTCCTCTTCTCTTTCTTTTGCACTTGATGTTTTAGCAAGGTAACATCCTATCAATAGCATTTGATATAACTGCTATGCAGATGACTCTCAACTAATCCTTTCCACCTTCTAGGACTTTTCGGTTGCATATAGGCATGTCTGCCTGACATCTATTGTCATGGATTGCAGTTCACCATCTGATGGTAAATTCCAGCAAGGAGCTGCTATACATCCCTGGTTCCTGATGGGAAATATTGAATAAAATATTCCCTGATTAGTTATCAATAAACTAAACATTGGCTGCCTAGAGAGCCCTCCTAATAAGGTAAAATAGGGAAGCAGACTATGGACTGTATGCAGTAGACTCTCTAATGGAGAAAGAGTTTCTAGGCCCACAGAAGGGAGCTGTACCAGATGACAGTTTAAGTTATAGTTGGTCCACTCTTGTACGTATATGGAGGGTTGTGTGAGATGGCCCCATGGAGAGTTGCGCAAGAGGGGCCCTGTAAGAAGAGAGCATTCTGGTAAGTGTCAGAACAGAGTGGGTTTAAAAAAAAAAAAAGACATCATATACGTTTGGGTTTAAAGGTTACCAAAAAGGTCTAAGGACATGATGGGGATTAAAATGGTCCAGAATTCTGTAAAAGGGGTGGGGAGATTACCTCATCGCCCCACAGGGGAATACAAAAAGGATGTTTTGAGATGTTCTTTGCATTGTGGTTGACCGGGAGCCATCTTGCCATTTGATGCTCAATTAAGTGAAGGCCTTTTCCTTTTCCACAAGAGCTCAGCGGCTGAAGTCTTTTTGCATTCCTTTTTATCCTTTTTCATTTTCGTTGATATTCTTTGATTCTCTTAATTCTTTTTGAAGATATTAGATTACAGATAGTTATTAAGGCAATGGTATAGATAATATTAGAGTTACTTATAAATGTTCAGACCCTGGGCAAAAAGAGATTGCTCTTAGTTGCGACAATCCCATGATCTTGCCATCTCCTTTGAGCAGTTATTGGTCATTCCATCTGATGGTGCACAAAGCCTTGGTGTAATTGTAGATGGCCATTCATTGCTCATATTGCAAACCTGACTCAGTCATGCAGGTTTCTCCACTGGGAGGTTTCTACATTTTCTCTCTGCAAAGGCCTCTCAGATGCTTATTCATGATCTTGTCATCTCAAGGCTTGACTTCTAAGCCAAAAACGGACCTGCCCCTCAATACCTGAGTTTAAAAGTCCAAACTTAATCCACACCTTGTGCCCTTTGAGCTTCAGGCATGTCTTGGCTAGTCCCGCTATACTTAAAGATGCATGGAAGGACAAGCTTTAAGACTCTTCCCTGTCCAGGCACCCATGTGGTTGAACAAACTTCACCTGGCTGTCCCTTGCTGGCTTCAAAAGACTTGTCTCTTTGTAGAGCATTTAAAGGCCCACCTATATGAAATTAATTTGCCGTGTATTGTGGTGGAAATGCCTTTTTTTCTGTACTGAGTATCTTAATAACAGCTCCCATTTTAAGCAGTTCTCGAAGTTCACAGTTTTTAAACCCCAATTTTCCTATCGAAGGTTACATTCTGTAAATGAAAAACAAAGTACTTCTGTAACTTGCTAAAGATAACTGGGCCTGGTAAATGCCATGCATGGAAACTCAAAAATTTTAAATTACGATTGAATTGATTCAGATTTATTAGAACAGAGAAAGCTGCTGAACTGTGGAAAGACTAGAATTCACTGCAAGCACATCTGCAACCAAACATGGAAACAGTTGCATCAGCACATACACTTGTCCGTTCCAAAGATGTAGAAAATGTAAACATTTCCTACCCCTCTAGTTGCCGAAATATGGTGAGATGTGCTCCATATTCCTGGGCAGGAAGCCAATGATCATACTGAACAACATACAGCTTGCAAAAGAAGCTTTTGTTCAGAATGGGACCGTGTTTTCTGGGAGGCCACTTCAGCCTTTAACAAAATGGATCAACAAAGGCTATGGTTAGTAGGGCATGACTCATGTTGATATAACTGTTTGGAAAAATGTTAGTGTGATTTTCCTTCTCCAGGGAAAAATACACTTTCCTACACAATTTTTACACACTTCCCAGCATCTCTGTAATCTCCTGTTCCTTCTCTCTGCCTTCTCAGGTATTATTGCAGCCAATTATGGTCACTCTTGGAGGCAGCAGCGTCGCTTCGCTCTGCACACACTGCGTGACTTTGGTCTGGGAAGGAAAACTGTGGAGGAGCGTGTGGCTGAGGAGGCACATTACCTCATCAAGGAGATGCTCAAACAAGAAGGTAGGTGATGAAGAGCTGTCCATGCCTGTGGCACAGTTCTGTGGTCTGATGTACAGTTACAATGGCAGGCAGCAGCACTAGAATTAACGTATTGTGTTGTGTGTCATTTAAAATTAGTATTTATTTCATAGTGAATAGTTTATTTCACAATAAATTACTGGCTAAGGACAGTTTGAATGAACATTTGTTCAAATCGACATGGACAAGTTAATGTTCAACGAGCTCAATCTTACCCATCAGACCACTACACTGTAGCTCAGTGAATCTCATGAATTTTTTTAAAGTACTACTGATAGTAAGGCTATAGGCCATTTTTGGCTCATAGACACATACGTGTTTGAGATATATATGTATGATATTTTAACAAAAAAATCATATGGTCAGTGTTCTGTCTTTGTGCATTTTCTCTCTTCAAACGCACTATTCTGCAATTCTTCTTGAAGGAAAACCTTTTTATCCCATCCACCAATTTATGAATGCAGTTTCCAATATAATCTGCTCCATCATCTTTGGAGACCGCTTTGATTATGACAACACGTGCTTTACTAAGCTGCTTGAAATTCTGAATGAAAACGTTCGGTTTGTCGGATCATCTGCGGCACAGGTAATTACCAGGAGCTTTCCAGGTGATGTCATTCATCTTCACTGATCATGTAGAGAAAAAGCACCAAACAATATGATTTGTCTTCTAAATTTACTCCATGTGTTTTTTTCTGGTTTCCTGGTATATATCTATAAAGAAGTTATCCAATGACAAAAAAATCACTGTCATGATGTGCTTGAAGTGCTTACATTTAAACAAACTGCAAAAAATAAATGATGAAATGTAACTTGAAATTCTTGTTTCTTTTTTTCTTCAGATCTTTAACTTGGTCCCCATTATAAAATACTTTCCAGGGC